TCCCCTAATACGTATCTTATTTCATATCTGTTTAGAGCCCTCCATATTCTCACCTAGGGTAAATCTGATTCAGCCAGTGAGTCCTCCACATGAATGTATGTGTCATTTCTCTAAGATAGCATTTGTGTTTTTTGTTTTTATCCTTACTTGAGGATATGTTTTAATTGATTTTAGAGAGAGAGGAAGAGAAGGAGAGGAGAGAGAGATAGACATCGATGTGAGAGAGAATCATCCATCAGTTGCCTCGTGTACATACCCTGACCAGGGACCGAACCCACAACCTAGGTATGTGCCCTGACTGGGAATCAAACCCTCAACCTTTTGGAGTGTGGGACGATGTTCCAACCAACTGAGCCACCCAGTCAATGCTAGCATTTGTGTTTTAATGAGGCCTTTGATGCCATAACCCAACCTTAATAAAAGCACCTCAGTCCTACCACCTGATTGTGGCCCTCTCATTGTCTGAGAATAGCTTTCTTTTAGATCCTTGCTTCTCAAAGTGTTGTCTGTGGACCAGTAGAATGGGCACCACCCTGGAATTTGTTAAAATCTCAGACCTTACTGCAGACCTACTGCATCAGAATCATTCTAGCAATACCTCCAGGTGATTCATATGCACATTCATGTTTGAGCAGCACTGCTGCAGTAAGGAGCAGCTAGGTAGCCAAAGTGAGGGATGCTTTACAGAAAGACTTTGTGTTTAAGCTCCTTAAAGGAGGACTCCCAGAGCAACTACTTCAGAGCCCCGGAGATGGGGCTCCCATCCCTGCCTCCAGGAGAAGGCATCTCCTGGGGTTCCAACTGCCATGCTGGATCCCTGGAGCTTCCGGGAGAGTCAGACTCCTGTGATTGGAATCAGAGGGCTAATTGGCCCCACATGGCTCCAAATCTTGCCATTTGCGAGGGGAGTGACAAGACTCCCCAAGGAGCCAACCAAATGTAAAGAAAAAGAAGCCAAAGCCTGATTCTGATGCCTGGGAGTCTAAGCTGTTACATTTCTATTTTCCTGCCCTAAAGTGCAAGCAAGGGAGAAAGCATCAGCTCAGAATCAATCCATCTTCTCAGTTCACTTGTCCTTTAGCCATGTTCTGCCTAGCAACAGTTGTCAGTGTGAGCTCTAGCAACCAGTCTCTCTTTGGACAATTTGGGGATAGAGTCAGTTTAGGTGACAGAGGAACTGGAGTTCAGGGTGTCCACAGGGACCCAGGTTGGGTCAGGGAAAGAGCTGCCTAGAAAACAAGGGGACAGAGTGTATTGTGGAGCTGTCTTGTAGAGGCAGAGTTGATGGGGGAAGGCCTGGGTTGTGTGAAGTGGATAAAGTTTATCTTCAGCTCTCTTTCTCTGCTCCTCTGGCCACTCCAAATAATGCTACCAGTAATATCACCATGTCTGCATCCATATGATACGTTTAACCTTCCAAAGTGCTTCTGTATCCATGATCTCATTTTATTCTCCCAACAACTCTGAGTGAATGGGATCAGAGACAGGTTAATTAGGATGTGGGCTGGCCATCCAGACCTGGCCAGGATACAGAGTGCTGCTGGCCACAGGGTTGGGCCAGCCCTGTAATGGAGACTCGATAGCCAGAGGGTCCATGCCTCTGAGTGGGTGTAGGTGGGGGCGTCAGGATTGTGGGCCTTGTCTGAGAGATTTGACTCCAGCTGGCTGCTAATGTGCTTCACCTCCATGGGTCACTTCTTCCTCACCTTCTTTGGGGACTGAGATGGAGGAGGAGCAGTCACCTAGCCTATTTGGCAGGACAGAGACTATGAGGAGCTAATGGATGTGAAAGCACCTTTTCTCAGATGAGGTAATGAGTGTAAAAATGAAAACAACCACATGGCTGTAAAGTGTTATTATTAGGCAGGAGAAGGCCTTTACTGGGGCCACTGACTGGCACACAGTGAGGGGATACCTTAAGGGAGCCTTGGGTAGTAAGGGGACAAAATAAAGGCATTGTGTTTTGGGACAAACAACAGAAGAAAATAGCAGGTCCCAGAAACAATGCTGAGTGGGGTGGGAAGACCATAAGTTTTGGCTGCTTCATAATTTTGTTCAAAGTTGCCCTATTTGAAAGGACCAGAAGTCAAACATCTTTCAAATTCGTATTGCTTATTTCCCCCAGGAGGGAAGTCACGTGACATGTGGACAGCTGAGCTCCTGTCATCCATCATTGCTTACCTTCAATATCACTCCCAAGTCTCTAGGCACTGAGCAAATTTCAGAGGGACTGAACTGCAGACACAGAAAGATGCAAACCCCAGGAGGGAAGGGACAATTTCCATTTCCATTTGCATTGTAAAATGGCCTTCTGGTCTGTCAAGGCCGGGGTGTTTGTTCTCTGACTATGATGCCTAGGAAGGCCCAGGCAGTGTGAGGAAAGGTGTGCTTGCCAAATTTGGGGAGGACCTAGTTAGGGACATTTTGTCCAACTCGAGGACAACCCAGTCACATCTGGAGGCATGTCTGCTGTAGCTGTGGGAAAAATATCTGGGTCCCCTGTGGAAAGATGGGGGCCACCCATGCACCGAGCTTGATTTCCTCTCTCTCTTTCCATCACTTCCCTTTCCTGTCCATTTTAGCACAATACCTACCTGTTCCATGGAGCCCTCTCCAGTTACTTTACCCCCTCCTCTGAATATACAACTTGGACCTTGATGCTAGACTTCATATACTATTCTCAGTTACCACTCTAATCTTCTTGTTCAGTGTACACTTTTCTCTTCTTCCACCTGCACTAATCTAGAAGCTCTGAGATCTGTAACTTCTCTTATGTCCCCTGGAGCTCTGACTGTCTAAGTAGGCATTCGATAAATACTTGATGGATTAACATGAGTCAAAGCAGTAAAGCAGAACAGTTGTGTTACAAAAGGCTCTTAGCTTGTTGGTTCCTTTCACTCCAGGAATGTCTATTTTCATCAATATTGGAGGTACCTGAAGGCCCAATGAAGACTGAAGTGTCCCCAGTTTCGGAAAAAGAAAAAGATGACAAACTGAGCCTGCAGTGGCCAGGGCTCTGAGCTCAGGACAGTACCGAGCACTTCCACGTGTGCCTGGATCCTCCTTGCCGGTGTCCCTGCTCCCCATGCCACAGGCAGCACAGCCCAAGAGGCTCTCATCCTCCAGCCTGCCCTGGCTGGTGCTTGTGTCAGAAATGAGCTGGTGTTATCCCAAAAAGAGGTCCTTTTTGTGCCAATATGGTCAGATGACAGGAGGCAAAGGGCTCACTTCAGAAGCAGCCCAGGGGGTGAGGCAAGACGGCAGCTGCAGGAAGATGTTCTCTGGCTCCCTTCAAGGCCAAGCTCCTGCCTGACACCGGGAGAAGAAATGAGAGAGGCGCCAGCCTGAAGCCACCTTAGCTGAACCCCTCTCCTGGGAGGGCGCCTATCCAGGATACCAGCCAGCCATGTTCCAGCTTCTGAGTGACTTTCTGTTAAAAAGTGACCATTTATCTTTCCAGTGTGGGAGGGAAGGAATCAGTTTCTGAATTTACCTTCAGGAGGCTTGACCTCATCCCAGCAGCCCCTTCTGGCTCCTTAAGGAGCAACAGACAGGCCCCAAGCCAACTTTCATGCAGACAGAGTTGATGTGGTTGGATTCGAGTCAGCCATGGTCTGTCTTCATTCCCAAGTTTTTATGAGAGCCACAAGCCCAGGACTATGAATTTCTCTTTTATACGATTACTTAAAATCCACCCCCCCAAATAGTCCTAAAGTTCCTCTCTAATTACCAAATTTGTGTCCTGATAAATGACCTAATTGCTTGAAACCATTTGCTACTGAGGAGTTTGGTATTCTTAGCTAGTTAACAATCACTCTCATAGTGTCAGAACCTCCCACTTCTTTTACAAACCGTACACTAGTTTGATTAATTAGCTCCTGGCCCTCTGGATCTTGTTCAGAAGGGCTCTGCTTGAAAATTTAATTTTCAAAAATACACACACTGAGGCTAGGAAACTCATCCCATTTATTAGGCCAGAAAGCCTGAGGGTAGAGTGGTGCCAAGTCAGGGAGCTCAGGCTCTGGGTCTCTTGGCTCTTCCACTTCCACCTGCCCTATCCTTGTTGTAGGCCATTCATTCTTCTGTTTACCTCCTTCCCTGCCACTGTCACTCAGTGCCCTTACCCCTTAGGGCTCTTCATTCGAATACTTCACTCAGACCTATCCTTGCCTACAGTATGCCTCACCCTGGCCCTTGCTATGGAACCTTTATAAAATTCGTTTGCAATTCCTAAGCTTCAGTAACTTAAGTTGTGGGCATCGAAGAGCCATCTGTAATCCCTCCCAGGTACTGAGGCTGTGATATTTCTTCTCCCAGCCCATCTGGGGTTCAGTCTGCTGGCAGCCACAGGGCACATCTCTCCTTCTTGCCCACAGGAGTCATTTTCCAGTTGTTCCATTAATTGAAATTAGTTGGCATTATGTACAATTGCATAAAGCAGTGGTCCTCAATGTAGCCCATTTCTTTATAGAAGCCATCTAAATAGTTTATTGTTATATATGACCTAAGGAATGTTAAAGTTTAAAATTACTCAAGGACTTCATGAAGGTGCTTCACATCCTTAAATGACTTCACAGTCCTTCCCTACTTACTTGCCTGTTTTGTAGTCCCTTTCCTCAAAGTTTTGGTTTCTCTTAGGGAGCTAATAGCCAATTCAATGAGTGGTACCACTTAACCTTTAGAATAGCACACTTCCATCTAGGCTTCCTCTAAGGTCCCAATATCTTGAAGGGATGACTGATTCAAATGTCAGGTTCTCTAGCACCAGTGTCCTCTGTTGGCCCTGGCCCTATGGACAAGTGGCTTCTCCTTTCTAGACTCCTCTTTCTGCAATCGGAAATAGGCATTCATTGCCTCTGCTGATTCCAGAGGCTGCAGGAAGCTAAGTGTGCAAATTCCCTGGTGCCATGGCCAGCACCCTAATCGGTGGCCCTCCCAGCTGCTTCTGAGGTTTAGTTGCCTTTGCATCTTGTTTTGCTCCTATGTTCCCCTTCCCTTAGTCATGTGATGCAGGAAGAGAGCGCAAATGATATGGAATGTGAGCAGCTGCCAGCAGAGACACTGCGACAAGTGACCATTCACCGAGACCCTATATATGGCTTTGGCTTCGTGGCTGGCAGTGAGAGGCCTGTGGTGGTGCGATCTGTGAAGCCAGGTAGGTGTCCTTCAGGGTTTCCCCCCCGGCCCTGGTTTCTATCCCCCAACACCCTACATCTTCCCAAAGAGCAGAGCTCCTGAGTACACTGTGTTGCGAAGGAATTCATGAAGAGTGGATGAAGGCTTGCCAGCCAATCACTGTGAAAGGGAGCCAGTCTTTTAAGACTGATTGACACAAACCTTTGAGGCTTCTTGGGGCCCTCGGCAGAGGCTGCAGTTGATGGTTTAGTAAGGTCTGAGTCTTAATAAAGCTTCCTATTTGCATAGAACCTTCATAGAAGAGCCATACTGCCTTAGATGAAAATTTTAATTTCAGTTCAACAAGTATTTATAGACTGCCTACTCTAAGTCCAGCAAGGTTGTAGGGAAGTGCATGACACAGTTCCTGTCCCCAAGAACCTAACTATCCAGCTGTGGAGACTGGTACACACTCATGAACTAGGTGAACCATTGACAACTGGAATCAGGATACAGACTATAGGTGGGAGAGGAGAATGAAATCTCTGAATGCCATAGTGGCAATAACAATGGCTATCGTTGATTAAGCACCTACTATGTGCTTTGCATAATCTCATTTAATTTCACAGCCAACCCTGCAAGGTATCATATCATTCTTATAAATGAGGAAACTGAGGCAGAGAGGAAGAGAAATGACTTGTCCAGGGTCACTTGACTAGAAAGCAGCAGAGGCAGGATTTGCACCTGAGTCTGTCTGATACCACACAGAGGAAGCAGGGCTTAAATGGGGCCATGTGGGATGAAACAAGGGAAAACACCACCTGAACTGTGAAACACGACATCATGAATGAAATGGGAAAAGGCCTAAGCACTGTTTTGTTCCAAATCTGCTAGGAATTGACAGAAAAGACAGACAGAAAGCAGCTTTATTCCTGACTTGCTGGGCCTGAGGCTTTAGATGTTTACAACAGTTTCTCGCTCAGTCAAGAGGAGCAGCCAGAGTACAAACTGGTCTAGCAGAAATTTGATGAATTTTTCCATCTTCAAAGGAAAACAAAAAGATTTTTGTAAGCTCTCTCTTCAACTAGAGGGCATAGAGAAAAAAAAAAAACAATTCGGTACAGGAGTTCGTGGCTGACCTAATGCTCCTGAGTCAGTCATGCAGTTTGACAAGAGGTTTTTGAGTCTCTGATCAGAAATCAAATTTGTCCTGGGTAAGAGGAACCATATAAGACTTAGTAACAGACCACCAGGAGCCCCTTCTTTCACTTCAAAGGAGACAGAATTCACAGGGCCAAAGGAAGCCCCCAGCTTCAAGTGGTATAAAAAAGAGGAAGGGTTGGAAGAGTGGAGAGAAGGAAAGTCACCGGCAAGGTCCACAGAAAGCCATGGGGCTGGCAGGCCCAGCCCAATGAAGACTTGGGCTGATCCACAAAGCTGTTTCTGGCCCAGGTGGCTCCCAAATGCAGACAACTTCTTTGGTTCTGTATTTGAGACCATGAGAAAAGACCAGAAGCATCCTATAGAGAAATTATTATGGTGGAGCATACCAACAAACCATTCTGTGAAGGCAGTAGAAGATTGATGCTACCTACCACTGCCATCAGAGAGTTGAGTTCCATAAGAACTATTTCCACTAAAAGGGAGGAAGGGAGAAAGGGAGGGAGGGAACAGGTAGAGGGATCTTCACCTAAAAGATTGGCATTTATGGCAGAGGTGCATAAAAGGAATGAAATGAATTGAAGAAACTGTCCCTCGGAGGATATAATAACTAACATATATCAAATTCTTACCAACATCAATCAACTATTTTAAGTGCTATACATTCATCTTCTCATTTATCCTCCCAACATTCTTATGATGTATAGGTCCAGGTATTTTCCCATTTTACAGATGAGGAAAGAGACTCAGAGAGATTAAATGTCTCATCCAAGGTCACACAACTAGTGAGTGGCAGTTGGGATTAAAGTCCAGGTCTGACTGGCTGCAAAGAGTGAACTTTTCACCACCATGCTTTCTGCTCCTACAGTCTTTGACTGAGTGGATTGAGGGCCATTGCAGTTGGAGTAGTGAACCCTGCTGGATGAGCCTGCAAAGCCACCCTCAGATCACAGGCCACACTCTCCAGAGCCATTGAGCTGTGTGCTCAAGAGACATAGTTGCTTGGTTTTGTTCACAGTTTTGGAATTTGCACAGCACACTTTTTTGTAGAGAGAGTGAGCAGTTGGTATCTGGCCCCTTAAAGTGGACACAAACAAGAGTCCAGGCTGGTTTGAGATTGGAATGTGTCATTAAACATTTCTTTTAGGTTTGAGTGAGGCTGGGTCTGACTCTCATTCTCCTTGAATCTCTGAAAAGCTTTTCTTCAAGATCTTGCTAAACACCAGGGGCAGCACTGCCTGTATTCCTCTACCCCCACCATTTACCTCAACCAAGAAAGTATGTCCCTCAAACAGGTCTGCTTTCTTAACCTCAACAGTGGAAATGGAAATGAGAGAAAGCAATTTCCAACCACCCGTGATATAGGGTCTGTGCCTCCCCCTCCCCTCATTTACTGGAGAGGAGCTTCTCTCAGAGTTGAAAGAAAAGAAACCCTTTGGGTTTTTTAGTCAATCCCCTTGTCTCCAAACAATTGAATGCGTAAATCATTACAGAGCAGTGAGTATGAATAATGTTCAAGTATGAAGGTTGCTCTTGTCACCTGTACCACCTCCAGTAGTCTGGAAGTTATTCCTTGTGCCTGAGCAGATGCCTCCTGATAAAGTGGAAGCCTGTGTTCCTCTTTAGAATCAAGCCAAGAGAGGAGTCATTAACCTAGTCTAGGACCTTTGCCACCACACCACTCCCAGCCAAAGAAGGTCCACTTCATTCTCTTTCTTCAGTCCTCTGCCCTCCATCTGCCACAGGCAGCAGTGGCACAGAGCTCAAAGAACACCCCCACCACTGGCACCACTCATCCTGCATTATCTCCTATAGGGCTCAGCACCCACTTCAGCTTCCTCAGATACTGGTGACTCCCTCAGACCTATGCTTTCCCAGCAGTGGCCCCAAGCCCTCATGCCTCTCTCCTCTCTTCTGCAGGAGGCCCCTCTGAGGACAAGCTCCTGGCTGGTGACCAGATTCTGGCTATTAATGAGGAGGACGTGAGTGAAGCCCCAAGGGAGAGGTTCATAGAACTCATCAGGTAATAGAGGCCTTCTGGGCCTTGGCAGGAGCTAAGCACTACTCACTCCCCTGCCCCACCAGTGGCATAGGGCTACCATGGTCCTACCTGGCACTGAAAGAGGAGCCCTTCCAGGAACAGCAGCCCTAGCCAGGGCTTCTGGCTACCCAGGACTTCAGGATCCAGACCTTCTGGGGCCCCAGGGGCCATCACACACTGTGGCTTAGACTTCTACCGTGATGTGAGCAGACACAAAGAATAACCTCCTGCCAGAGCTCACCTCTCACCCTTCACCTCACTACTCACCTCACCAAAACCCCTTGGTTTTTTACTTACTATGCTCTGGGACAGACCAAATGACCAATGAGAACCAAACATGCCATTTAACGAACACTCTGAGATAAGCACAGTGTGAGCAAAACATGCTTTCTACCTTTCTATCCCACCCCCCAAAAAAAGCTAAGGAGAAGAAAATCCAAATCCCTCGCCAGTGGGTTGAGGAAGGGAACCTACCATTGTGGATTTTACTCATGGGGTGTGTGACCCCTTCATGCCCTCCAGGGATAAGGGCAGGTAAAAGAGAGAAAGGAGTATCAGAGGGCCACCACCTTCTGTACATGGGGATAATCATATTGACTTTTCTTTTTCCTTACACCATACACACCACATACCACACACACCATGCCACCACATATCACATACACACCATGTGCACATACCATTCATACCACACATACCACACATACACCGCACATACCGTGCCATCACATAGCACTAACATACCACATGCACACCACGTAGCACATACACACTCCATGCACACCACATACACTCACACACATACACCATGCAGACCATATAACCCACACACACCACATACCATTCCACCATTACCACACACAACACACATACAACATGCTACCAGCTAATACACACATAACGCACACATCAGTCAAACCACATACCACACAAATGCTATGCCATCACATACCACACACACACCACAGATTCACACTATGCCACCACAAGCCACACACACATCCTGCACACACACTCATAATATGCCACCACATACCACACACCATACACACCATGTGCTATACACATGCCCAAATCCACCTGTGCCACATGCTTACACACACACATACATATACCATACATACTCCCTTACCTCAAACTCCCACCACATGCACACACACATACCAACCACATACCCCCTTGCATAGACTTGTTGATAAGGAACCAGAGGACAGAGGTGAAGGTTTTAAATTACATGGGCTAATCTCAGTTTAGAGGTCCTTGGCTATCTCCCCTCAAATGAAACCATGTGCTGGCTCTCTCACTGTCTTTCTCTGCCTTATGTAGTCTGTTCCATCTCTGCCTCTATCTCCTTCAACCTCTTTTAGTTCAGAGTATTTTTATCCCACTCATCTTTCTTATTCTCCCAAAGTCCACTTGCCCCCAAGCCCCTGCCTCCCCTTCAAGGCAGACTTAGTGCTCTGTGTATTGAACAAACCCCTCTCGCTAGCTCTGGAGGGGTTTGGAATGCTTCCTCTTGAAGTCTAGAGCAGGTCTTCCTTGACATGCTCCCCCTCCAGCTCAATGTCTTGGAATGTGTCTGGTTGTTAATTACCTTTAGTTTGTCTCTTCTGTAAGTTTAGTTGTCCATTGTATTCCCTCACCCTTTGCCCTTCTCCCTCTATCACCACACCAGTATGAGGTGAGTTCTTTCAACCCCAGCAGGACATGTTGGGATTCTTTCAGCCTGACCCCTCAGAAATCTTTGCTTTCCTTTCAGTGGATATCTTTGCACCCTAGAACAAGTTAGCCCAATTTTGCAAGGGAGTTTAGAGCTCCTTCAAGGTCAAAACAGAGCTCGCTCATTTGATAACTTTGGGAGCTAGTGGATCATTCATTCAATATATATTTATTATTGAGTATCTACTGTGCACCAGGCACTGTTCTACAGCATTGAACATACAACAGTGAATAAGAAAGACAAAATCAATGTCCATTAGAGTTTATGTTCTAGTGAAATGAGATATACCATAAGCAATAAATGTGATAAGTAATCGTACAGTATACTAGAAGTTGATGAATGTTATTGAAGACTAGAAAGTGGATCAGGATAAAGAGGATCAGGAGTGCTGGGCACATGAGTACAGGATACAACTTTAAATAGCATAGCCAGTGTCAGCCTCATTGAGAAGGTAACATTTGAAGAAAGACTTGAAAGAGCTGAAGATGTTGGAGAAAGAGAGACGACCCAGGGCAGAGGCCCTAAGGCAAGAGTGTTTCTGGCATGGTTGGGGAACAGAAGAGAAGCCAGTGTGTGGAGTGGGGGAGAATTATAGCCACTATAAGGACTTTTGTTTTGTTCTACATGAAATGGGGAGACACAGCAGGGGTCAGAGCAGACAAATCACGTAATACAACTCACACTATGTCCCTGCCCTCTTCAAGAGACAGATTTTTCCATGGTGTTTTCCCTGGAACACAACTCCTTCCTTCTCCTGGGAGCTTCTCAGACTCTGGCGCTGATTCATCCCGGAACTTTGCCTCACTGAATATGGGTAATGTTCCAAGTCCTTAAGCAGGGGGCCTTGGCCTTTCTTGAATACCAGAACCAAGGGCATTTTGACTCTGCTTCTTGAACACCTTTGTTCCCAGAAACATTTGAAAAAGGCCAGCAAGGAGAGGGGATGCTCCTTCAAGGCAAATTCTTTCCAGTACTTTTAGTTCTTTTAAAGGATTATATATTCCTGGGAGAAAATGTTCATACCTCATAGCCTATTTGATCATTGGCATAATTCTTGTTGGAAGAGTTTCAAATTCATCTTTTTTAATATTTGCTATCTGGAGAGTCTTGGCTTCCATCTGTGGCTCCCTGGCTCTTGTTTTTTGTGTGTGTGTTGTTTTTTTTTTTGGTCCTTCAATTAAAACAAATCTGCTGAATGTGAGTCATGACCAAATGACCTCCTTTGGGTTCTTCCTTTGAACTGCCCCTCTTGCTTAAATACCAAATTGCCAATAATCATAGTACATGGCTCCCAATACTGATTGTGTGCCCTTTGAGTTCCCTAATTCAGACCTTTAGTTTTCCTTGAGAGTTTTCTAGTCTACAGACAAAATTGCTCCGAAGGTTTCGGGATTTCTACAGAGAGAATATGAGAAGGACTATAAAAAAGAAGACCTGAAAAATGACAAACTCAGGGATAACGGTAATACCATTTCAGATGCCTGTGTGAACCTATATGGATGATTATGACAACTCCCACAAATGATGGGAGGAGAGGCAGCCATGCAGATACTCAGATTGCCCTCTGTCCTAATCCATATAGCTGAATGCAGCCCAGGGCAAAATTCTGGTGTTGCTTCTTGTGCTAGATGAATACCTAGTGCATGATACACTACTCTCCTATTCCCTCTTCTCTCTGTAGGAGCGCTAAGGAATTCATCGTTCTTACAGTTCTGCACACTCATCAGGTGAGTGAGCCTCTTTGCCATCCACCCTTCCTCCTGAGATGAGAGGACTTCATATTGGAAAGTGATAGTGATGGGAGAGAGGATTAGAGGAGAAACTAGGACCAACATTTTATGAGCCAAGGATTTAGAAGTGAACTTAAAACATATCTTCTGAACATCTTGTCTGCTCTCACATCCAAGGCTTGAGGATTTTGAAGGGCTATAGAGTACTACGTTCTGCCCTATGCCCTCTGCTTTACCCCTCTTAAGCTGCCCATTGCCACAGTTCCAGACATATTTCCTACCTCTTTTTGGCTGTGCCCATCAAAATTTACCTGTACAGTGTTTAACTCCCATAAAGTTTTTGCATACAGTGGGTGTTAATCTTATTCATTCATTCATACAGGTATTTACTACATGGCCTGAAATGTATGAGACCTAACACTGTGTGTGGGGAATTTAACATAAAGTTGCTGGGGAGGTACAGTTCGACAAACAGGTTGAGCTGTGTTCTGGTTCAGTCACTAATTGGCTGTGTGACCAGTTAAAAGGTCAGTTCCCCTCTCTGAACCTGTTTCCTCATCCATACATTAAGGGTCTAGATTAGAGCAGTGTTTCTCAAACTTGCCTGATTTATATAGTCAGCAGGACTACTTATTAAAAATGAAAATCCCCAGGCTCCACTCATTAAGAGTTGGATTCAGAAGGCCCAGTGTCCATTACTATGTTACGTCCTTACAGTAATTTTAACCCAAATGTACAAATCCAGGTGTAAAATTTTGTGGGCAAAACGCAGAGCCCTCCTTACACCTCTAGACTGGTTGCCCCTTCCCAATGTCCCCGACACTCCCCTACACCTCAGTACTGAGATTCCACCCCCATCCTGTAGCCACAGGAGAGGTCACATCTGTTGGGGGTAGGGAGCATGAAAACAGGGGAGGCATCACAGGGGAGGATGCACCTGAGATAGATCTTGAAGGATGGAGCAGGATTTCCTAGGCAAAGGTGGAGGGAAAGATTTTCCAGAGATCACATTTCTGTGCAAAGTCAGGGACAGTGCACAGGTACGGTACGAGTCAGGGGGATAGGGTTCAATTCAAACTCTGGCACTAACTGCCTCTCCCCTTGGCCCCCAGCTCTCTTCTGTGTTAGTGTGAACCTCACACAATACATTCATGCACACATATTCTCTCCCTCCCTTCTTCACTCCACTCCCCTCCCCACCTCTGACATGCTCCCTGGCAGCTAGGCCTTTGTCAATCACAATTCTCCTCTGTCTCTGAACAGGGAAGCCTCATTCCCTCAGTGGGTGTTGCCAACAGGCTCTTCCCTCCCCACCTTACTGTGAATGTATAGTTGCCTATTGGGTAGTGGGCAGTCAGTCCCTGCTTTCCAATCTTCTGTCATGAAAATAGCTACCAGTTCTCACCTAAAAACATGTTTGTTATGTCGTTAGACTGTACTGCTCTGATCAGAGACCCACTGTGGGTTATTTTGTCAGTCAGGTCTCTTCAAATGTCACCCACTTATAGAAGCCTCCCTCAACTACCCTTTCTAAGATAGCATCTACCTGTCACTATATCCTGATACTACCTAATTTTTTCATCAGAACTGAAATCTTATATTTTTAATTTTTTTTATTTTGAAATAATTGTAGAGAGGGTATAAGGGGGATGAATGGTGATGGAAGGAGACTTTATTTGAGTGGTGAGCACACAATAAAATATGCAGATGATCTGTTATAGAATTGTACACCTGAAACCTATATAATTTTATTAACCAATATCACCCTCAATAAATTCAATAAAAAATAAATAATATATAATTGTAGATTTACAGGAAGTTATGAATCTAGTAGAGACATCCCTGTAAACCCTTATTCCTGTTTCTTCCAGTGTCTACATCTTTCATATCTATAATACTATATCAATGCCAAGCCAAAGTCAGGACATCAATACAATATGTGTGTATGGTTCAATATCAGTGTATCACATGTGTGGGTTCATGTATACACCGACGCAGTCAAGATACTGGTCAGTTCTGTCACTAAAAGGACCTCTCATGTTTCCCTTTTGTACCCATACCCACCTCCTCACCCCTCAATCCTTGTCAACTACTAATCTATTCTATAGTTTCTGTAACTTCATCATTTCAAGAATATTATATAAATGGAATAATATAGTATGTAACCTTTTGGGATTGGCTTTTTTCACTCAGCATATGCCCTTGAAATTCACCCAAGTTGTTGGGTCTATCATAATCTATCTCCTTTTGCTGCTGAGTAGTATTACATGGTATTCCATGGTGTGGATGTACCACTGTTTGTTTAGTAATCCACCTATTGAAGGACATCTAGGTTGTTTCCAGGTTTTGGCTAGTGTGAACAGAGCTTCTATAAACATTCATGTACAGTTTTTTGTGAACATAAGTTTTCCTTTCTCTGGGACAAATGCCCCAAAGAACTATTGTTCAGTCATATATTAAATGTATATTTAGTTTATTAACAAAACTACCAGACCATTTTCCAGAGTGGCTGTAACATTTTACATTCCCATGAAATATTATATTTATATGTATTTATTGTCTATATCTCTCATTTGAATGCAGCTCCACGAGGGTAGAGACTGTATTTTGTTCACTACAGTATTCCCAGTGCCTGGAATAGCACCTGGCACAGAGTAGGCAACTGATAATATTTGTTGAACGAATGAAGGAAACCCAAATTTCAGCCATCACAACAACTTGAACTAAAGTGTTCAAACTTTGCTTCAGAATGAAGAGCCAAACACTCCCCCATATCTCTGTCCCAACTGTCATCCCAGTGGCCCCAGTTCTGATGCCCCCACTGTCCCATTCCATGGCCTCTTTGCTGCTTTCCTTCTCCTCCTTGTACATGTCTTACGTCTTACTGCCCTGCAATGTCTGTTCTTGTATTACTCCACATCTCTTCTAATAGATGGCTGTTTCCTTTAAGATCTGGCATGAAACTCATGTCTTGTAAACACCTGTGCCTGACTAACCTCAGTGAGAGTTCCTAATTCATTAATTCCTTTATTCATCAAACATTTACTGAATGCCTACTATTCTAGATGCTCTTCCAGACTGGAAATATAGCAGCACACAGGACAGACATGGTTCCTACCCTCAGAGAGCTTAAGTTCTAATTCTTGGCCTTGTGCTCTCTAAATCCTTTGAATATAGATGTGGGAGAACACATATACACAGGGGTGATAGTCAAAACAATTAGCAGCCTGTAAAATAGGGGCCATCTAATCAGAATGTAAGCCATCCACAGACACTTACAGCAGAGTCTTGGAGGCCTCCTAACTGTGCCAGGTGTTAACCCCTAGTTGATTATTTGTAGAGAGGTCTCAGGGGAGAGAGGTCAGGTGGCACCCAGGAAGCTTAAGGCAGTGGCTACTTACCAAGCAGTGTGAAAGAATCCCTCAATATTTTACAATAGGTGTGGTCATACCAGTGCATCCTGACTGAATGTCAACCTTGAATACATGTACAGTTGATCCTCATTATTCACAGATTCCCTGTTTGCAAATTTGCCTCTTTCCTAAAATGTCTTTCTAACAACAAAGTTAATACTCACAATGCTTTTCTGGTCATTTGCAGACCTGCACAAAGCATGAAAAATTTGAGTCTCCCAATGCACACGTTCCCAGCTGAGGTCAAATAAGTTGATACTCTGTCTTCTTGTTTCAGCTGTATTACAGAGGTATCCCAGAGGATGGAGATGGTGGGGGGCAGTGCACTGTAGTGCAAGAAGCTTTGGTTCTGGGGACAGTTGCATGGGGTTTGAATCCTAACTCTAGCCCCTGTTAGTGGGGTGGCCTTAGGCAAATCATTTAACACTTCAGAATCTCATTTTCTCCTGGTAAATAAAGAAAATAGAAACTACAGGATGAGTTGTTTTTAGAATTTAAGATTATAATATAACTGAGATACACACACACACTTTTCCCTTAGAAACAACTGTTCAGTATTCATTAGTTCAGTTTTTGAGGTGACTTTATAGACCATGACTACCATTAAGAACAAAAATCAACTGAGAGAATCTTCTCACTAAACCCGTAGTGAAAGCTTCTTCAAGATTCCCAGCATACGTTTAGTGTTATAGCCCCTACATCACAGAACATAGTACTGTGTCCACGCAGTCACTTGGTATCTCATGACGCTGCTGCCTCATACCAAAACCCTCGTTATGTTTAAACTTGATTACCACTTCTTCTGGAAGACAGTTTCCCAATAGGTCCAGAATGTGGCCAAATGATCTCTTTTTAATAAGAGCCATAAGTAAATCTGATGCTCAGTAGAATTTGGGAAACATTGGACCTGACAATCTCTAAGGCTCCTGCCAACTCCTACATTCCATAGCTGATAATATAGTGGTTCTCAACCCTGGCTATGCAATGGAACCACCTGAGAAGTTCTTACAAATATTAATACTTGGGCTCTAGCTCAGACCAAGTAAATTAGAAGCCCTGGGGATGGAGCCCAGGCATTGGTCTTTGAAAAGGGTCCCCAAATGATTCTGATTTGTAGCCAGGGTACATATTATGAACTACTGGTCTAATACGTAGTCTCTTTCAGGTGACATTTTCTTTTTAACAGAGTGACTGATACTATGGCAGACCATTTGGGGATATATTGTGCAGTCACAGGGGTCCTTTCCCAAGACCTCTCAAACCATTGTGCATAGATAGCCACTTATTAAACCTATATGTATTTAAGGGTGTTCTTAATCTTTGAGTGACCAACTATTCCCTATGATTGACTGAATATGTATTAATTTTGGTATCATTAGACCTTGGCACATAGTATGTCCTCAGTAAATATTTTAAAATAAAGTATGGATTGTGACCTAGAATGGCTGTGGTAGAGCAAGCAGACAGTCCCTTCAAATGAAACCCTAATCTTCTGGTTCTGAAAACTTAGCCTATACCCAAAAAGCCACCCTCTGCTTAGAGCCATCTGGCCAGAAAAAAAGCCAAAATAATGGGAACCATGGC